ACATCCTTTCATTTTATAGTTACAGTTTACTAATAAAACTCTCCACAGTATGAACAGTGGTTACATGAGCCTCAAAACCAGACACAACTCAGCCCTGAGCAGAGTGACCGTCCTCTACTGACCAATCAGACTGCAGTGTTCACAGCTCCACCTTTTAGTACCAGATCTGTGTGCTAGGTACCCCAACAGAGGGGGGACCAAACATGGGGACGGTATGTAACGTTCCATTGGTGCCATCCACAACTTTTCACAGTGGAAACAGAAAAACTGCGCACTGAACTAAACTGTACTGTACTGCTCGGTGGAAACGGGGCAACAGATAAGGGATGCATCTTGGGAAACATGATCTAACTCACACATTAGAAGGAAAGAAAGGATCTGGAGAATGTGACAGACAGAAGTTATGAATAACAGACGGTGAAACCCTCATCAAGTGTTTAATAAACTCCTCTCTTTCTCCAGGTCATCATAGAGTGTGCAGGTAAAACACTGCGTTCCTCCGTCATTCAGAAGTACAAGTCCAACCCAAACTTCACCACCCTGGTCGATATCATTGATCTGGTAAGATCAATTCAGCATTTACAAACTTCACTAATGCTCTTATGGCTGAACGGGAGAAAATGCCTGCAGCCGATATCTTATGGAGAGCCAACAGAGAGCATGTTAATGGTCATGGTTTGTAATGAGACGCTCAGCGATCACATATGTCCACATGTCCACATAAATTTGGCCACAGGGCCGAGGGAGAAGATTGAGTCTGAGATGCATCAGGACTCTGTCTTGAAAGATCATGTCTGAATGCAGAAAAGTCAATAATCTGAACACAATTCTCAACATTATGATTACTTGGACTTGCAGTTATTGGACAAAACCTCAAGGTCACACAGAATTCACAGGGATTGGTTGAATTTGCATTATCTGTTGCGATCGCCACATCCTAGAGGGCCTAAAAATCAAATCTAGAGATGCCTAGAGCTTCCCATCCCTATTTGGCCATGTAATATACGACTGTATGTAAAGGAATCAATTCATTTATTGGATAGTTAATTTAATTTATTTTAATTAACACAAGACTTCTACAATGTTCTGCCATCCTTTAGGAGTTACCGGAGAATGAACACCTCCATCCTCCTCTCAGCATCACTGTTGTGGACTGGCGGGCCTTCGGTCGCAGCACGTTGGTTGGAAACCACATCATCAACAACCTCAAGGCCTTCAAATACATTCCACCTCCTGCCCTGCCTGCTCCTGTACAGATCCATGAACCACCAAAGGACACATCCACCGCTGCACCTGCCCCAACATTAGAGCCACAAAGCACTGAAGGTAATGTGTGTGGCCAAGTGCTGCTGTAGCACATGAGAAGAGCTACACGAGCTTATTGTTGCTATTTACCTGTTGTGACTGCAGGGCTGGTGTTGTCTTAGCGTCCAGCAGGCTCAGCTGATCCTGATACTCTCCCACAGGACAATTTATCTTTGTCTCTCGTCCAACAGGTCCGTCCCATGACGTTGGAGAGACGAGCTCAACTACAGCATTAACAAATCAGGACTTCTTGATCACTGTGGAGGAAGAAGCCCCGCCTCCACCTCCGCCTCCGCCACCACCACCACCTCCAGAGCCTAAACAAGACCCCAGGAAGAAAAGGGTGAATGTTTCTGCGCATAACATACAACATAAATAACTTTGTTCTTATGAATCCCATATATCACTATCTAAATACAGCCCAGTCGCCAGAAGAAAAAGTTGGCATTGTACGTTACTTACGTACATTTCATGTTTTCATTTCAAACATAATATTTTCCTAACCATAACCAAGAGGTTTTTGGGCCTAAACCTGACCACAAATTACCCACAGTGTTAAAATATAAGGAAAAGTAAAGTAATAAACATATCAGTGGTCTGAGGAAACATACAATACAATCATTTATTCAGGCGACTGCATTGCTAATTATTCCGTACATGTTGTTGTGTATATTTTAGATCCAGGACGGCAGGACAAAGAGCACTCGAGGCCGCTCCACCAAGCGGAGAAGGCGGACCATCGCTGACGAATCAGCGGAGTGTGTCATCGACTGGTGGTCCAAATACTACGCCTCTGTAGAGAAACAGGTAGCTCTGATTGTTGAGGTTTGCTGCAAAAGATATTTGTACAAACAGAAAACGTGTTCATGTTGCACTCCTGTTTGTGTTCCAGGCCAAACTGAAGGACGGCTCTCCGTTCCCGCAGGTCTTTGAAAAAGGTACGAACTCCTCTGACGTCACGTTACCTCCATCAGTCATGGTGAAGGTGCTCTGTCAAAGCTTCATTGTGTTTTGTTGAATTCAGTCCATATTTGTTGACTGATCCCAAACTTTCCAACAAAAAAGTGACTGTGAAGAACATGGGATTTATGTGGAGCGGAAATCTTTGCTGAAACAACGTCATACCACTGACAAAGATTGCGAGTAAACTGATCTGAGGAAAGGTTATCCCATTTTTCCCCCTGACCTACACACACATTGTTGTGCATTGCAGCTTCGCCGTACCATGGCTTGCTCAGCGATGGAATAGACTCATTGGGTAAGGACGGAGACATGCAGCTACAAAAGCTGCATCATTAAGGGATATTACTGTTACTTCTAACTTCCTTGGAGGAGATTCTCTGCTTGATGACTTGTTCGCTGATAACTGGAACCTTTGGGGACTGACTGGATCTTACTGGTTTCTGTGTGGTGTTCATTAGTATTACACTGTTGATGCACTGAATTAGTGGTTCTGTCACTTGATGATCTGCCCTGTAGCTACCAGTGTTACCCTCCAGGTGCCCTCAGCAGGGGACAAAGTGGTGCTGGCCACTTTACTGGGTGTACAGTTACCTATGATTGTATTCTGGGGGATTGGTATCTCCTGAAAGGACAAACTTTTTATACATTAAAGAGGATCTCTTGTATTTTTCAATCTGGACCCTTTTTTCAAATATTTTTGTGTCTAAGTGACTTGTGGGAACAAAACGTCTTGAAATTGGTCCAGCATTCAGAGAGTGCTGCAGCCAGCAGCAGCCAAACGGCACAGGCGCCCCTTCAATTTACATCCACTAAAAGTACTTGTTTTGCCACTGACAGGCTTGTGATGTTATCGTGAGTGTCTTACAACATGCTTCACAGTGGGCAGAATCACTTTGCACGAGTCTAAAAATTATATTCTGATTTAACGCTTTGGGGCAAAAGCGCACATCTAATTGGATCACTTTATTTAGCGTCAATGTTAACAGTGAAGTTGGAATCTCTAATCAGGATGATTTCTGTCTGATTGAAAAACTGATGTCCATGTAACCACAGCGAGTGTTTACCACTGAAAATGTGTCTTGTTTGTTCCATCAGTCAGCAGCTTCTCGGTCGCAGACAAGAAGAGGAAGACCCAGAAAGCCAAAGGAACCCTGGAGCCGAGCGTTGGTCTGCCTACTAAACTAGCCACACTCAAGGTACTCAGTTCACAAACACTGCAAGTCCAATAAGATCACAGGAGACTGTTTTCAGAGTAGATAAGAGTAAAAGAGCACTCCAAAAATACAGCTACTGGCAGTGATCAAGTTGCTTAGTGCACCTAAAGGCACTGTGTCTCATTCATGAAGTGTTAGTAAATCTGTGAGTAGATTTGCACATAAAAAACCTCAGGATTTAAAACCTTCTCCAGATTAATGAACGCTGCGGGAAACTTTGATTTGATTGTAGGCACGTGTGTATGTTTGTGAATCCGAATCAATCAATTGACAGCGTGCTCCTGCTAGTCAGCACACATCTTCGCCCATGAACAGCCAGTGACCAACATGTATGGAGGTGATAATTACTGTGGACAGGTGCATCCTGTCGACCTGTGAACATCAAGCCAACAAAGAAAGGCAGTAGTCTTCTGTTAGTAGCAGTGTGACAAGTACAGGTAAATCAAAGACCTGGAGGGAGGTAACAGGTGCCGTTAAGTCCATGCCATCTGTTGTAAGAACCATCTACAAAGTTAAACGGAAATGATTCAACATGAAACTGCAAAAAACACAACAGCTACAGGAGGCTCCGCCCAGTCACAGCTCTCTGCTGCAGACGAGCACATTGCTTGCATCACTGGAGAGACTTGTTTGTCTGAAGCCTCAGCATTCTTTGTCTCTGTCGCGAAATTAAACCACTATTAAAACATCTTAATACAGGCAGTCTGATGTCGGGAATAACCCACTGTTAAGTATAACACCATGCAAGATAGTCGGGTGTAAAACCATACCCTCCCCCTCCAACTCTCTGCCAAATTTGGGTTCACCAGCTGCCCGGTGTGAGCGGAGACAGATGCTAAATTGCTTTCCCACGTCCACAGGTCTTTTTAAACCAAAACTGAATTTGAACTAATGTTTACTTCTCCCACATTGCCTCTTTGATAATTAAATTAAACTCAAATTGCATGCAGTTTGGGGCTGCGGTGCGTAAAAAGCGCAGAGGAGGAGTGCGCTGGTTTATTTTATCTATTCAGAGAAAAGCCTTTCCCAGTTTTGTATTAAGTCAGTTTAAATAACTCATTCACATTTTAAGCTTAAATCTGCTAAATGCTTACTACGACTTAGAATTGTAATTTCTAATAATGACAAGCAACATTTATGTGCAATATCTTATTGACACAAGCACTACAAGCAGTCAGAAGCAGGTGCAGATTGTGTTAGTATCTATGAAAAGATCAGAGCTACTAACATTAATGAATGCCGAATGTACAGTTCCTTCTGTGAACAGTTTACCCACAAATTCCTTCCGCCCACATTTCATGAATGAGACCCAGTGTGTTTAACAGTGTCTGTAGTATGACTGTGGTTGATCGACAGCCCTCCTATTGGTTGTGTTGCTCCTGTTAGGGCGGGAGTAGTCGGGTTCACAGGATGTAGATGATAAAAACCGAACAACAATCTTTCTACCTTGGTGTTGATCCATGTTGGAGAGAAAAGTTTAATGCCAATAATTTGATGCCAGTAATCTCTCTGCAGCTGTACAACAAGGAGCTGGAAGCAGAGTTTGGACCTTTTGATGACTGGGTGAACACATACGAGCTGTTCAGAGGAAAAGCCAATGAGGAGGATGGGGCGTCTGAGGAGAGATTTGTCGGCAAATTTAAGGCGAGACAATAAAGTCGAATGTCCTCTATGGGAACCACTGAAGTGTCTTTTTACTAATGATCTAATCCACTATGTGCTGTGCTTCTCTGCAGGGAAAATTCTGTCTGTATAAACTGAACGGGGACGAGCCAGAGGATTGGGACGAAGCCACGGACACTGGGGACTTCAGAGTCAACAAGGGACTTCCTTCCAACAGCCCGGTCCAAGTCCTCATTCGGGTTTACGTCGTCTCTGTATGTCCTCATTACTAAGGATCAGTTTAAGAAGTGTTTAATATGAATGGTTTTAAGCATGCACAGCTGAGAACATCTCAGCGTAAATGTCCATGAAATTTAATTTAATTTCTTTAGCAAAGAAGGAAAATAACTACACATGGTGAACACCCAGACGCCAAGAAGGAGAAAATGTGCATATCAAAAACAAAAGATCAAACAATTTGATATTTAATTGAAGATAGTTTGACTGCTTGACCAACCTCTCCTGAGGGAATGTGACTGAATGTGAATCTACCATGTCTGTCAATGTTATTGAAGTCAGGGAAAAGTCGTGTAAACAGAGGGAGAATATGCAGATTTCACACACAGGCTTTTAATCCTGAACCCTCTTACTTGTGTGATACAACGTTATATCATTGTGTTAATGTTCTCTCCTCTTTCTCCAGGCGTCTAACCTGCACCCAGCTGATCAGGATGGGAAGGCAGACCCTTACATTGTTCTTCGGCTCGGCAAGAATGAAATCAAAGACAGAGACAATTACATCCCGAAACAGCTGAATCCCGTGTTTGGAAGGTATGTGACTGCCTGCGCACAACGTATCCTCATGTTTTAAAGTAGAAGGTGCCTCCACTAGTTTTTATGTCTTTAACACATAACTCGTCCCTCCTTCCTGCTTCCAGATCGTTTGAGATGCATGCAACATTTCCTCAGGAGTCTCTGCTGACGGTGGTGATCTATGACCACGACATGGTGGGAGGGGACGACCTGATAGGAGAGACTCGCATTGACCTGGAGAACCGATTCTACAGCCGACACAGAGCCACCTGTGGGCTCCCCACTGAGTACAGCATGTGAGTCTGGGTTGTTTGCCTGCTGTCCTGTCGTCCTGATAGTTGGAGTGTCTCTTCGTCTCTGTGCTCTTATTTTTCTTTATCAGAACAAATGAATTTATTTGAAGGAGGAAAACTCTTTTATCAAAACCTTATGACTTACGGTGCCTCCTCTTCCTCCTCTCTGTCTGTTAGAGACGGTTATAATGCCTGGAGAGACTGCCTGAAGCCGTCAGAGCTGCTGACTAAGCTGTGCAGAGACAACGGTCTGAGCGATCCTCAGTTCAGACCCGGACGCATCACTGTGGCTGAAAAAGTCTTTACTGGCAAGACACTCTTCATGCATGAAGGTAAAGACTTAGCACACTACTTATTGAGAGTGTGTGTGAGGTTTGTGGTGTGTGTGTGTGTGAAATCATTGATTATGATGTGTGATACATGTCTCAGACGAGCCACTAGAGTCCTATGAGCACCTGTCCCTGAAGATCCTGCACCGCTGGGCAGAGATCCCAACTGTGGGATGCAAACTGGTACCAGAACACATCGAGACCAGAACTCTGTTCAACAAGGCTCGACCTGGCATGGACCAGGTATTTGTTTTCACACTATCTGCCCAAGTATACAGTTCTCTGAATGTGATATGTAATAAAACCCAAATATTTTTACAAATGTTGCTCTCAGGCAACAATGCTTTTATCTTTCCTCCAACCTCAATCTTTGAATAAAAGCATCTTCGCAGCTCTTGATTCTTCTCTTCTACGTGCGTGCGTGTGTGTGTAGGGTCAGGTCCAGATGTGGGTCGACATGTTTCCTATGGACTTACCTCACCCGGGACCTTCAGTAGACATTTCACCTCGAAAACCAAAAGGGTGAGAGCTGCCTGTTTCAGCACCTACTGGCCGATCTTTTTAGTCTTTATAAAACAATATTTGTTTTTGAAAAGTGCGAACAACACCTCAATGTGTGTGTATGTTCAGGTACGAGCTGCGCATCATCATCTGGAACACAGAGGATGTGGTTCTGGAGGACACCAGCTTCCTGACCGGTCAACAGTCCAGTGATATCTACATCAAGGGGTAACTACAAGCTCTTCTGTAATATACTGACCATGGATAAGTACCTTACACAACCCCACTGCAAAAGATCCAAATAATCCAAATTATTCCTTTAATGTCGATAAAAATCTCTGTGTCATGCTGCGACTGTCGATCTCTGTAGCTGGGTAAAAGGTTTAGAGGACGACCGACAGGAGACAGATGTCCACTACAACTCTTTGACTGGAGAAGGAAACTTCAACTGGCGCTTTGTCTTCCCCTTCCACTACCTGCCTGCTGAGAAGGTACTGGCAAACAGACAGATATACAGATGCAGGGTCATACCTCACTAACCCTGCTGATGTAAGTATGATCTGCAAAATATTAACACATCGTCAACATCTCTTAAAGGTAATAGTGGTGACGAAGAGGGAGCATATTTTCTCTCTGGAGAAAACAGAGCAGAAGCTTCCCGCCATCCTGATCCTACAGGTCTGGGACTTTGAGACGCTCTCCTCTGATGACTTCCTAGGTGGGTGTGACTGCCTCTCCATGTGTATCTGTGTTCTTCTGTTAGCATATTTGACTGATAAAGTGTGTGCATGTTTGTGTGTGTAGGCGCGGTGGAGTTAAATCTACATGGTTTCCCTCGGGGAGCAAAGACGGCAAAGGCATGTAAGGGGGACATGCTGACAGACGGGACAGAGCGAATCTCCATCTTCCAGCAGAAGAGAGCAAGAGGCTGGTGGCCCTTCAGCAAGTCTGGAGAGCTGACGGTATGTACACATACATACTGTTTAAACATACATAAACACAAAGCATGTCATACAGGGTGACAAACACTTGTTGAGGCTTTGGTTGATGGGTGTGTTGTTTGCTCTGAATGCATCAGGGGAAAGTGGAGGCTGAGTTCCATCTTGTCACAGCTGAGGAAGCGGAGAAAAATCCTGTTGGCCGAGCACGCAAGGAGCCGGAGCCGCTGCCAAAACCAAAGTAAGAGTCTGGCAAAATTCTCTCCAAACAAAATGGAGTCTGGTGTGTGTGTGTTTTTTACTGTGGAGGTGTGCGTTCCTTTAACTGCGTATAGGAGCTTATTAGGGAAAGTGTGAGAAAATGTAAAGACTAATTTCCTTAAAAGACAGTCAACTATCATTTTCATAAACTATAATGAAAACATCATAGTATGCCGTTAAAATATCGTAGTATAATATGGCATGAAAATATAAACAGGTCATAGTTTAGTATAACCTAAATAATAGAGGGAAAATCATAGTGTAGTTTGTCAAACAAAACATAAAAATGTCAAAGTAAAGGATGTCATAGAAATGTTTAAAATAGACATAGTAAATGTCATAGTATAATATGCCATAGAAGTAAATATGTCAAAGTATGCCATAAAACATCACAAATACATTATATTGTGGTTTGCAACAAAAAATACTCCAAAAGTAGTGCAGAAATACAGTATGCTAAGAAATTTTAACTTAAAAAATCATAGAATAGTGAGCCATAAACAAAAAAATGTTATAGTGTAGTATGACATAAAAATAGACAAAATGGTAATACAGTACACCATAAGAATTGAAATTTATTTATTTGGATAAACCCCTTGAGATGCATCATCTCGTTTTCGAGGGGGTCCAGACATATAACAAACATGGACTCAACAATACACAAAAACAGAAACCAATAAACAGACAGAGAGAATATCACGAAGATGTTATAAATTACTATGCCATGAAAAACACACAAAAAAGGTCATAGTGTAGTAGGTCATAAAAAACACACAAAAAAGGTCATAGTATAGTGTGCCATAAAAACACAAAAAAGGTCATAGTGTAGTAGGTCATAAAAAACACAAAAAAGGTCATAGTATAGTGTGCCATAAAAACACAAAAAAGGTCATAGTGTAGTAGGTCATAAAAAACACAAAAAAGGTCATAGTATAGTGTGTCATAGAAACACAAAAAAGGTCATAGTGTAGTCGGTCATAAAAAACACAAAAAAGGTCATAGTGTAGTAGGTCATAAAAAACAAAAAGGGTCATAGTATGGTATGTAAAAAAAGCGCAAAAAATGTAGTATAATATGTCCTAAAAAAACACAAAAAAAGTCAAACTATTGTAAAGCGTGAAAAAAAATTAAATAAAAAAAGTAATGATATAGCATGTTGTAAAACACACAGAAAAGGGGCATTGTTAACTATCTTGTAAATAAGAAAAGTATGTCGTAAAAATGACACACAAATATCGTAGTATAGTGTGCCCTAAAAAAACACACAACACAGTTCAAACTATGGTGTGTCGTAAAAAAAAACAGTCAAAAAAATCATGAAAAAAAGTCATAGTATATTATGTCATAAATTACAGACATAAAAAGTCATAGTATAGTATGTCGTCCGAAATCATGAGAAAATCGTCATTGTATAGTATGTCGTCAAAAAGCATGAAAAAAAGTCATAGAATAGCATGTCGTCCAAAATCATGAAAAAAAAAGTTATAGAAATACCATGTCGTCCAAAATAGAGAATGTAGTAGTGCGTGGACAGATTTGTTTGCTCTCAGTGCCAGCTCTGCAAAATTTAAGTACCAGATAATTATTGATAGTGCCCTGCACAGTGGCCACCTTGTGGTAAAACATATTAATGAATGCTTATTTAGACCATAAGTATACGCTAATTTACACTTAATAGGCTATTTACCTTGATTATAAGACTCAAACATGTTTTGCGGCTCCACACAGATTTTTTCAAATTATTTTTGGTCAAAAATGGCTCTTTTAATGTCAAAGATTGCAGACCCCTGGTATAGGATGTCGTCCAAAATCATGAAAAAAAAAGTCGAAGTACAGCATGTCGTCCAAAATCATGAAAAAAGTCATAGTATAGCATGTCGTCCAAAATCATGAAAAAAA